GTTAAAGGTATGATGAATGATGAAAAGTTGTAATAAATGGTGAATCACACATATCACAGGTCTTTCACCACAAGTCTATGCATTAGATGCTATGTATTTATTTCGAATTTTGTCCATAATTCGGTCATTTCTGGCCATTCGTCGATTATCTCAACAATAAATTAATTTGTGAACCATACTGAACATGTTCATACCAATTAAAATGGTCTACGCCACTTAAATTGTAAAATATTTCCTTTTAAGCATTAAAAAAGCAATTAAATTACTATTACTTAAACATGATTGTAAAATAAAGTTTAACCTAATATGGTATCCGATAAAGTCATATGCGGTGCCCCCATAGGCCCTGCGTTTCTCCAACGAATGGTCTCGTATACGAATGCCATAACATTATGCAAATGGTGTTTATCGGCCACAACCGGTGCCCTATCGCCCAGTCTATCGTTCACTTCATTTCGCATGATTTGCTGCCAATCGCTATAATATACCATAAATAGTAAATTCCATACGAGAGTTGTATATATGGTGTCCGTTCCCGCTGTTGTCATCAAATATCATTTAGATAATAATTTATTATTAAGTTATTATTGATAACATCATTCAGTGAACCTCTTTATAAGAAGCCTTAAGTTATACCATAAAAAATAAGAAAAACAGTTCGCTTCTTATATAGAAACTAAACTGCATTAATAATTAGTAACTCAATCGATACCTAAATACATGTCCATAACTGCGGCCGCAATATTATTATCATTCAAACATTCAAAGCCCGGCTTTCCCTCCGCCTCTGCCCGGCGTTTGGCGTCAATAAACTTACTGCAAAAGTCTCGGCCATTACTCTCGTCGTAATTATTATCGCGTAATTTTAATTCATTTTTTGTGTATTCAAAACATTTAATATATATTTGTTGTAATTTTTTCAAAGGATTGGCCATAAAATATCTCGCAATGGGTATAAACTCGTATATGCCGTACAAATTGTTCATTTCATGTCCAAAGTAATGGCTTGGATACTGAAAGTTTGTGTGCATTTCCTGATTCATCCTAGTTTAATAATATGCAAATTATATTTGTTAATTATGATTACTTAATAATGTGTATTATAATTATTGTGTTTATTTTAATTTACTTGTGGTTAAAAATAGTGACATTAAACATATTCATAACCAATTCGTGACAATAAGATTGAGGTTTAAACGGCCGATCGATTCCCTCTTTGGTCAACATTTGTACAAAGATTTCATCGACAGTTGTGTTCAATAAGGTTTCAAAATCCGTTGATTTTGTATATTTCCTATTAAATAAATTTAGTTTATTAAATAAATAACTAATTTTTTAAAAACATTATGAGCGTAAAATAATTCTAATACCGAATAGTAGACATGGTCATTTTTCTCAGCTGAACCACACTTTCTAAGTGACTATTGAATGCCACATCTCTATGATTGTCATCGTTGAAAATTGAACCTAACAATTATTTAAAGCAACTCATTAATTTTATGTAATGCCCTATGTAAAATATAAACAGCATAAGGTGATTTATACCACCTTAAAGTCAATCCATTATTTATAGTGAAAGTTATAAATTATTTATTGTATACAATATAATATATTGAACAATAAGTTATTATTGTAACTTATATTATATGAAATAAAATAATTATTAGAATATTACCAAGCAAAACTTGAAATTTTCCCGAGCATTCTCGTTGTTTAAAAGCTTGTTTAACAATATCCGGATCACCGATAAGTACGATAGGTATGGGACCGACCCATACGGTCACCACCGGTCCATACAGTTTGTATAGTTTTGACAGTTCTTGGTTTATGTGTTGTTTTTTATTTCTAAATACTATTTAAATAACAAATTAATTAAATATTAATTAAAATTCATGGCATACGTAGTGATGTTGTTTTAAAATTTTATTAATATAAAATTATAATTAGCAAACTAATTTAGATAATTAAATTAGATGCATACATAGTAGATTGCCAATTACTGGTAGTGGAATTGGACCAGGTGGATAGTTGGATAACTTTGAATAAAATCCTACCAGGTAAAATGTAATCAGTCCAAATATAAATGTGGCACAAATCTCTAGCCACGTTACACTATTATCATTAAAATCAATTTTAATAATACTATTAAGTATATTATACCTATTACTTATAGTTATCTAGATAATTAGAAACATGTTATCGTAGATAACTAGATGTAATAATACTCACATAAACATGTCACTTATTTAATTACAACAACTTATAATTATAACTTGTAATTTATAAATATTACCGTTAGTAATTATAAAATCTAATTAATGATCATTTTTAAATGCCAATATTTATAAATGTAAATAATTTAAAAAGTTTATAACAGATGGTTATAAATTATACTGTATATATTAAAATAAAATTTACTAACTTTAAATATTATTAGATGGTAGCAAAATATTGCAATATAAATTACTCTGAATCAGAGTCTCTGATATCTATAGATACCAAAACAATTAGAATACAAATTATATTTAGTTATTTAAACTCAAAATTTAATGTATTTAATTGCAATGTTAAGAGAATTATAAATTGATATTATATTGTGATTGAATAAATTTTAGTGATAATCATATTTTATATTCTTACTTTAGTACTTTAATAATGTTTTAATAATGATATAACTTATAAAAATGTACTGTCTTATAAATTTACATTATCATTATGTGATGAATAGCTAGTAATTGAATTTTGATAAAACAAATTAAAAATTTAATTCATTTCTAATATTAAAAATATAAATATGATTACGAACTTATAATAATAATTTATAATATTTATAATAATTTAATTTAATATAATAATTTATAATAATAACTTATATAATAATTTAAATATACATTTAAATATTTATAGAATAATTAATACTAGTTTACATTAATTAACAATTATTTTCTATTTGATATACAAATAATGATATTAGTACATCTAGATGTAATTTAAATGTTCTACTAGCTTTTCTAAGTCAAACTAAACAACTAACAAATTATTCTACCGGTAGTACATTTAAAAAAGTACAGTAATCATTAGTGATGTAAGTTTGACACATTGATAGTTTTATTATGTAGAATTTAATTGTTTAGATATAAATAAATGTACTTTGCGGAATTTTCTTTTTATTTTTATGTGATAATAAATTGTAAATTAAAATTATTAGTTATTAAAGCTAATTTATAAGGTAAATTGTATATATTTGCTTAACATTTAAATATACTGTCACCCTATGTACTTGGTGATATGTTTTTTAGTTAATAAGTATTATTTTTGAATATTAATATTGTATTCCATGTATTTAAACTTAAATTCATTTACTGTATATTTTCAAATGCTTTTACATTAATGTTGATTTGGATTACAATATAAGATCAGTATAACATTTTTAATCAGTAGCTATATACTTTATTCCGACATTGTTCATATAATAAAATACTTTAACATTACCATTAATTCTTATGTGAGAACAAGACTACATTATATTACTATTCAATTGCATTCACAAAATATGGATTCTATCAATATGAACATGGTCATACCTCATACATTAGTCACTCGATCGGCAAGTAACCTGTTGTATTTAAATGGTTTGTGTCACACATGCAGTCAGTACGAGATTATTACCCGGCGTAATATCTTCAGACATCCATTCATTATAAACACACTTATGGTCATATTTCTATCGCAATTCACCATATCGCTTCTATTTGTCCCTGATACAAACCATACAACCAAGATACTATTGGGTGATTGGGCTTATCTGATGAACCTTCCCATACATCTAGATATATTCATAATGTTGTGGACATTAATGAATATACTGTTTCGCGCATTTTATTACTACAATTACAAACGTGGTATAAAACCAACATTTCTGACACTGTTTGATATGTTTGCCGGTTATATAACACCCGCACAGTTGGGTCTCACCGATCGTCGAGTGGTGTATACGTTGGCCAAGAGGTCACGTGTTTTGTTTAAATTTGTACATTTTGTGGGCCTGTACTGCGAGCCTATATATGTCGTATACGTACTTTTATTGTATGTACAAAAGTGTACACTAATGGAAATAATTATCTACGGCATACCACAAAGTTTGTTTCTCACCCTGGTTAATTATAGCACCGTGCACCAAATCATGTGCCTAGTGATATATTTCTATCTCATCTGTCTGTATCTAAAATGCAAAATACATGTCATTAACGATAATATTCGCAAACATATGCATAAAGATAAGTGTTTTAATTCAGCGTTCATTAGGAATACAATTAACTCATTGAACAGAATATACATTGAGATCAATGAGTATAACATCACGTATTGGTCACAATATATATTGATTTTATGGCTAATTTTGGGTTTAATTGTTTTGCTTATGACATATGTAGTGATATTTCAAGACATGCCACTCGTAGTCCGTGTAATATGTGTTTACGCACAGTCTGTGGTGTTGTACCCCTTCATGTTTACCATGGTATCATCGGCTGCCATACACCATAAGGCTAATCAGTCATGGCAATTGTTGAAAATGTACTATGCTTACAAATGTGTGCATTTCATACCATTGAACACTAATCGCCTACAAATGATGAACAAAATTAGTGATAATATTAGGAAAAGGTTACTATTCTTAGCCAATAGACAACAAGTGAAATGACTGTAGTGTTTATCATGTGTAAAGATATTTGTATTTGTGGTTATTTTATTGTTTTAATATTTATTATTGCACTTAAATATAATAAGTTATTTTTAATAAACATGTTTTGGCAAATTTTCTAATGACTTATTTAATTTACAATAAAATAAAGTTGTAATTACTATACGTTAATTTAGTATTTATTATTATTAAACTTTACGATATTTTCATTTAAATTTTTATAATTCAACGTCTAATATTAAAATTAGGTCCAAATTCTAATATAAAGTTAGCATATTTTATTGTCTTTTTTAAATACTTTTCAGTGTTTTATTTAACTAAACAATTTTAAACACAAAAAACATTCTCGTTGTTTAAATACTGATTGAAAATTTAGTTTTATTGTTGGGTATTTAACTAACACTAGTCGCGCACATGTTTAAAAAATCAACAATTAAAACTTTTAAACTTAAAACTATTTTATCATTTATTAAGTCTAGTAATGATTAAAACCCGTTAATATTTCAAACATTTACCAGTGATTTAGTAATTATAATAACATGATTGTCATCAAAGGTCCAGTTATTGTTATATTTATAACATTATTATATGTTTCCAATTGTGAGTACAGACCATACAATCCATAAATACTTATAATTAATGTATACTTTATATCTGAATCAATATCTATTAAAGTAATCGACGGTTTTGTTCAAATTGGTAAATATCCCCAACATTTGAAATACATTATCAACGATGAGTTGTGTGGACTCAGATCTCGGACAATCAAATTCTATATTAATTATTTCAAATGCTTTAAAAACAAATATAATTACACTATATTTGTGGACTCGACTGGTATTAAGGGCAACGAGTTGTGCGACGGCACTAAACCCAGCGCTCGTATCGTTCAGGGCTCGGAGGCCGGGTATATGGAGGCGCCCTGGGCTGTCCAGTTACGGGTATATGACTCAAGCCCAACCATTAGGCGACGACGGCAACATGATAAACAAAAGTGATATTTAAATTAATTTTTTAAAAACAACCTACCACACTCAATTTTAATAATTTTATAACGTATTTAGATTACACAAGAGAATTATTATACCGAGGCCTAGTAAGCCTACATCAGCGCCTAAGCCGAAACAGATTAGATCATGTAGTGGCGTATTGATAACGTTGGAATGGGTGCTAACGGCCGCCCACTGCATACCCGAGTATATAAATTGCAGTTTATAATTAATAAACATTATATTTATGGCACATATTATGTTAACAGTAAAAGTAGAGTACTATATGTTCAACCTGGTAATGTCCCAAATCTACCTATCGATGCCAATGATGACGATGTGAAACGCGTGCGGCATAACGATTGGTACCCACACCCGGAATACATGCGGATGCGGGCCTTGGAAATCACTAATGACAGCCGCTTTGATAGGGATTACATGCAGTCCTATGACTACGGTCTGGTACATGTGTTTGGGTTCTACCGGGAGTTCGACGACAACAATCGGTACACTATAAACACGGCGTGTCTGCCGGCGCCCAACCAAACAATGAACGAGTTTAGCGGACGGTTCACTCTCTACGGGTTTGGTGCAGTTGAGCAAAGGGGTGGCTTTAAAATGCCCCAATGTTTGATGAAAGCCGAGTTCAGGGGCCAGTATTGTCGGCAAAATCAGTTGTGCATGAATTTCACCCACCTTGGTCCAAACTCATGTTCAGTATGTATAGCAAACTCGCACTAAATATACACTGTTGTGATTATTTATGTTATAATTTAATAATAGGGTGATTCCGGTGGCGGTCTGGTTGAGTACCAGGGTAGAAAACGAGTAGAGAAGGCTGTGTTAGTGGGTATAATGGTTGGCGGCTTCCCAAACAACACGGTGTG